AATGTCAACTTAATGTGAGGAAACTGGATTGTAAACGGCACAAATCTCTGAAGTTTGGCTACCAGGTGGGATTGGTGCACATAGACTGAGGAAACAGTAGCTTTATCGTAAGATGTTGCAGCTGCAGATCACACTCAGATAGCATCAGGCGTTATCACAGTGCTGCTATTTTAGTCTGGCGGCTATAGGTCATTTCTTGTTTGTTCTCTGTCTGTCTTCTCCTGTCAGTCATGCTTTTATGTTCTATATGACAAAAGTTAGAAATAAATTATTTAAACACCAGTCACATAACCTTTAGTTCACTGCTGATCAGGACGTTGTGCGTCCAAGAAGAATAAATGCGCCCTGATGTGGCAAATCATAAAGTCCCTGCTGTTTTTTTTTCCCTTTTTCCCAGATGAAGGTATGCATGGATGAGTTCAGAAGTCTCGCCGCTCGCTACGCTGATTTACACCAGTCGTCGTTTGATGCCGATTACGCCACACTTCGCAATGTGGAGCTGTATCCTTAAACACGCCTCAAGTCCCATCACACGTCTTGTCTTGTTGACAATCCTATTTTCTCTGCTGTAATTTAGTTTTCTTTAACTGTCTGTCCAGACAACAACAGAGCTGTTTGCTTGTCTCCCATGTAATTGAAGCTTTGATACTGGACCCACAGGCAGCCAGGTGAGAGCCGCTGTCGCTGTCAAGAAAGGTGGAGGAGTGGGATTTGTGTAGAAAAAGAAAAATACTCAACTTAAATTCAGAACCGCTGCGCAGCAAAATAGCTCCGAGTACTTTTTCAGTTTTCATGAGAAAAAGCCGACATATGCATGTAGCTTTTTGTAAGCTGCACCCTTGAGAGATATGACACTGTAATGAAAATAAATGCTCCTTATTTAATTTGACAAAAAGCTTCTTCGCTGTACCGTGTACTTGAGTGTTTTTTATTGAAAGCGCTTCGCTATAACACACATCCCCCCCCGGAGGCATCCTCCTGGCAGACGTTTGTAACGTATCGCCTCTCGCTGTCTCTGTAATCTAGTTTTCAGGAGTACGGCACTCTGGGCTCGGTCCAGACGGAGAGCGAATATGAGCGACGGATGATGTCAGTCTTCAACCGCGTGCTGGAGGAAGTGGAGGGACTCACCAAGAAACACCCTCCTGTGTCACACCTGGTGAGCTTTAATATACGACGCACAGCGTTGGTGCTTATGTTTACAGTTTTTTTTTCTGCACAGTGTCCAGATTTTAAATTGCAGTGGTTGTGACAAATGCTGTGCTGGTACCAAGGACTGCAGATGTAGTTTATTTATATAGTGAAGCTGCTGCACTTAAGTCTCTGTTGTGTTTGATTTTAGATGTGAGTTTATTTTAGCTGGTTTTGGAAACTCATTCTTGTATATAGTGGGCTGCAAGGTAGAGCGGTGGTTAGCACTGTCGCCTCGCAGGTAGAGGGACACCCGGGATCTTTCTGTGTGGAGTCTCCATGTTCTCCCCGTGCAGCGTGGGTTCTCTCCGAGTTCTCTGGCTTCCTCCCAGAAACACGTTTAGGTTAATTGGTGATTGTAAATTGTCCGTAGGTGTGAATGTGAGTGTGCTTGGTTGTCTGTCTCTAAGTGTAGCCCTGTGATAGACTGGTTACCTGTCCAGGTGAACCTGCCTTCACCCTGAGTCAGCTGGGATAGACTCCAGCCCCCCATGACCCTAGTGAGGATTAAGTGGTGTATAGATGATGGATGGATTCTTGTATCATCTTAACTGGATATTGTCAGTACTTGTGTTTATGTTCATGACAGTGGTTTTGTATTGTGTTTGTCTCACCTGCTGTAGCAACACTTAAATTCAGTCCTCTTGGGCAGCGCTGTCTGCAAAAGAAATGTTATTCTATGCAGTAATTTAAGGATACTGACAAAAAAAAAAGTTGCAGTGAATTGATCTGTGTAAAGTATTATTTGCTGTTTGTTTTCTAGCACACAGGTTGCCTCTGTGACGCCGTCATAGCTCTGCTGAAGGTTCCGCTGTCGTTCCAGAGATATTTCTTCCAAAAGCTCCAGTCGACCAGCATTAAGGTAACTCGTTTCCCTCACTTTAAATAGAAACGCTAAATAAACACATGCTCCACTTTAAACAATGCCTCGTTGAGCTCACGAGTCAACTTTCCTGCCCAGAGTTAGATGAGAAGAGCGATACCTCTCTGTTATCTGATCAGTGGAAACCCAGTTAATGCAGGGAGACGGTGAGCTCAGCTGAACGTTAACACAGGAAACGAGGGAAAATCCGCCAACCTGCACTTTTAAAGCTCGCTAATTAACATCTTATGTGAAATTACTGTTTTTAGTTGCATGGAGATTATGTGCTGAAGTATTTCTTGGCTGGACATCCAGAAGGTCTGGGCCAAGAAAACAGTCCAGAAAATACGACATTTCATAAAAGAAAAACATGAGACTGGAGCTGCAAGGAGTCATCAATTAAATGTCAGCTGTTACATATTATTAGCAACTATTTTGATCATCAATTCATTTGAGTATTTTTTAAAGAAAAAAATTATTATCTGGGTGTTTTTTTTCTCCTCTTTGTCAGTAAAATGGATGTCTTGGATCAGAATTTGGTTCAGAATGGTTCAGAATGTGGAGGACGTCCTTCCCTCGGTACCCGTGAGGCTCATCCAGCTATGTGTTGTGTTGTTTTTTTCCAGCTTGCCCTCTCTCCGTCCCCACGAACGCCGAGTGAACCAATCCCGGTGCAGAACACTCAGCAGCTGACTCTGAAGGTGGAGGGAGTGGTGCAACACGGCTCGACCCCGGGACTCTTCAGAAAGATCCAATCTGTCTGTCTCAACGTCACGTCGGTTCTCCAGAGCAAGACGGGGCCGGACTACAAGGTGAGTGGCTTTCTTCTTTTGGTCAGATAATTTGCAAATAATGAATAATCTTAAAATACTGCATACCTCTCGTTAATTCTCCCAAATATATTCTTCCATCTATTGAAACTCAAATCCAGCAGTTTTATCTGACGGTTACACATTTCCGCCTTTCAGATTCCACTAGATACTAAAACGAACGAGATCGAGCAGCGGGTCGAGCCGCACAACGACTACTTCAGCACCCAGTTCTTGCTGAATTTCTCCATCCTGGGCACCCACACCGTCACCGTGGAGGCCTCCGTGGTGGATGAGAGCGGCATCGAGTGGAAGACGGGCCCCAAGACGACGGTGTCAGTCAAGTCCCTGGAGGATCCTTATTCCCAGCAGCTCCGCCACCAGCTGCAGCAGAGTGCAGCTCAGCCTGCTCCACAGAGGGGTGCATACGCTCGCTTCTAGCAGACTCCCTCCCAGCGCATTAGTGTTTACGCTGTGAGCTTCTGTACTTGATCTGTTTTGTCTCATAGAAAACTGATTCTGTAAATATTTTTTTCAGCGAATAAAAGACCGTATTTCATTTTAATTCTGTTCCCTCTGTGTTGCCCCTTTTAAGATATAATTGGCTCGGTTTAGAGGAGAGTCACATTAATGAGGACGGTTCAACATATCACATCATCGGCCGTCTGTATAACCTGAAGATTGTCAGGTCAGCCACCGGAAAATGCACAATTGTACTTTATTTACTGTTAATATTCCTAATCCAGTCCTATTTCACGCATGCGGTAATCTGGAGGACAATTTAGAACTCAATGTCCTTGGATTTACCATGTCATCGTTTCTACATACATGCAATACCGCAGAGAGCCATCAGGGGGCAGACCATAGTCAGTAACCAGCATCACGGTCTGAAGAGTCCGAAAATCTCTCAGGGGTCAATTCCAGACTTGTCTGAGTCACCCTTAAATTAAATCATTATTTAAGACTTTTAGATTAGATAGTTGAAAGTGTTAAGTTCACATTTTAAATCGTGTTGTTTTTTTTTAAAACCCATTGTCACATTATTTTAAAATGTTATTGTCAGCAAAATTTAAGATCCTCTGAATTGGAACTATATATATAAATATATATACTTTTTTTAAAAAAAACTTTTATGATGATGCAAGCTTTGCACCCACAGCTTTGCTCAAATATCTTTTGCTATTTCTAACATGCAGAGAGGTAAATGCACTGATTTTAATGATAGACCTGCACCCACACTAATGATGTCATCTGTAAATAACAGGAAGACAGCAAGATGACTTAAGATGAAGTCAAAAGATCTGGTCACAAATGTTAAAAAAATTTTTTTTTTTGCTAAATATAAAAAAAAAAGGAATTTGTTGTTCATAGACACTGGAAGCATCAGTACTTGACATTAGAGTCTGCGCACTCAGAGACCAGAAACTGGCGTCAGGCAACACAAGCGCGTCAAGTCAGAGGAAATGTGCGATAGAAACATCCGGTGGTCGATTTCAAAATCAAGTCAATTCTTAATGAAACTCGTCAAACCAAAAAACACATTTCATAAATAATTTTTTCTACTTAGTATAAAAAGTTGGATTTCTACATTTAGCATTTACAGATTTGATCAAACAGTTAGTTTTCTGTCATACAACAGCAAGGTGATGCAATACACTGTTCTAATTAAACTACTAGAAATGAGTTGAATCTTAAAACATCAAGATCAGATTCTAATAATAGTTCATTTAAATAAATGACATGTTTTCTTTTTAATTATCTCACCTAAGATTTTTTTTATTGCTGAAGATGAACTGAAAATTTATTTTACATTATTATTCACGTTTATCAAAAACACAATATGATTTGTTAATAATAAAAAAAAAGTTAGAAGTAAAAACAAGTTATTTTAGTAAAACGTCAAGTTTTAAGCTTTAGCATGGACAATACGACATATAAAGCCAATCGGTTTTAATAATTCTTTAACAAATTTCTACCTAATTTTATCCTCTTGTAGCTTGTATTGTATTGTTTTTATACCATCTATTTTTAAGCTGCTGTACTAATTAATACACTCGGCCGCCACAGGGGCTTTTATTGTGGAGACCCAGCGGACTCGTCGTAGCCGTGTTGTTGTTGTAGCGGGTACCTTGACTCTGTGTGAATCGGGATCTGGAGAAAGATAACGGGTCCTGGGGAGCCAGAAACGAAAAATCGCTGTTCTCCGTATTTGATGCGCACATGTCGTGTGTATTTCGTGTTGCGTTTGCTTAACGAGCAGCGCTTGATCCCGGGCCCGGCCGAGCCGCCTCTCGTCCCCGTTCGCTGACGGCAGCTCGGTAGCTAGCTGACTGGCCGCTGATAGTGATGCATCAGAGGAATTATCCCGGTGTCTCTGACTGAGATGGAGCCAGCGACGCTCAACTGGAGTTGCTTGCTAGCTAGCTAGCTAGCTAACGGTGCCCGCCGGGATTCCGTGTACCCGAGCAGACCTGGATAACGTTAGCTAAATGGGTGCAGTTTTGTCGCACAGGGTTTGTTGTAACGTTATCACACGTTTCCACCTCTGTCCGCAGATTTGATAGAGACTTTACAATGCCAACTAGCAAAAATTGCTAACTTAACCGTTTAGGTTAGCTACACGTGACACAATTTATCTCGCTCCAACAATTAGCTACACCTCTGGCCGTCCTTGGATGCTTCAGTGACATTAATTGGGTGAGTAACACGAGCTACCCGACTTGCACTCCTAAATTACAGGGTCGGACTATATTCTGGATGAGGCTCACACACAGACCGACACTGCGCTTTGCACCAGCATCAAGACATGTAGCCTCCGCGTTAACGTTTGGCATTGTCTTGTAAAATAGCTTTTGTAGCTGCCTCTGTTGGTGTATTTCGCAATCATGTCCCAACCCACAGGCTGACATATGTGACAGGTTTCTTAACATCTGTTCCCGTTATGCTAACTCACTCTTGTGCTAGCTAGCATGTCATGAAGTACTCGACCACGTCCCGGGCGACTGGTCCTTTTATGGTCCTGTCTTTGCATGTATTACTGTTACGGCTTGGCAGCTAGCTAGCAGACGGTCACGAATAACAAACGGCCACATCCCGGAGTAAATCCTCTTGAATAATAATCAGAAGATAGCGTCCACTACGCGTGTGTTACATATAAATTCCGTGAAATAGCCTCACCCCTCAACTGGTTAGCGGCAGACTCACTCCTCCGGCTTTCCAGAGTACGCGCTACAACACTGACTGATTCTGCGGATTTGTGTCCTGTCACATAGTTTGTGTACAATAAGGATAACGTTATGTAACGTGTCATATAAGTGGAGACGGGATGCTAACAGCTGCTGTGTGTCTGTGTTGCAGAAGGTGTGTATCAGGATGGCACGGCTCTTGGACGGGGCCGGCAAACTGGGCTGGGTTCTCCTCAAGTCTGTGCTCCGCTTCGTGTTTATGTTCCTCAACAACTGTGCAGCCATCCCATCCTACTGCTTATACCTGCTGCTGCTCCAGCCTCTGAGAATATGGGACAGCTCCACTTTCTGGCACATTGAGGGAATCATGTTCAAATGGTTGCTGGCCATGGTGTCTTCATGGGGCTGGATTGCAGGTTACACAGGTGAGACAGTTCCTCCTTTACGCTGTGTGCTGTGGAGATGTTGTGACGGATGCACAGCACCTCTCCGAAACCTGTTTGCTCTCCGTGTATTTACATTTCAGTCACAGCTGTCTCCTTTGCTGAAAAACACATCTCCAGAGATGCTTTAAAATCCCTACAAGATCACAGTTACTACTTTTATGATCCTAAACAAGTCCTGCAACGTGAAACAAAAACAAAAAAAATATTCACTTCCCTGCTCAGAAAGACCCTGTTTTCAAATTCCGACTCTGTTTCCTAATCCGGGCGATGCTGGCAGACATAAAGTGACACGTCTTTGCGTAATTTTTGCAACTTGAGCCAGTCTTTAAACATCACATGCGTATTTCTTCAGAGCCTCTGTGACTTGAATTGGATGCAGGAGAGCCACACACTGGGACCAGTTTCTCCACAGACGACAACCACGTCAGTATTAAGCGTTTCCTCCTGAATTGGAAATAAGTCACTAATGGGCCGAGGGCAGACGGTTGAATAAAAATGAGATAGTTGAAGAAAAAAAAAATCAAATAATAAAAACCTCATCTTTGTTTTGAATCTTAAGTGGCACAGCTGCTCTTTGCTCCACTTTTAATAGAGCAAAGAAAAAGTGAGGATTTCTCGCTATTACAACTGCTTCTATGAGAGCATCCTTATCTTGGAATGCGGCGCTTCATCTGTTCCTGTTTGCTCGGCCGCATGTGTAAATATTTGTGCTGTTGGGGCATGTGGACAGGGAGCGTTTATTCTGACGTGATTCGTTAATTATTTGATAAATGTTCAACTTTTAAGAAAAGAAATCCAGACATTTGCTGGTTTCTGATTCTCAGATGTGAGGATTTGTCGCTGATATCACACATGACAGTGAATGAGTTCCCTGTAAGCTTTTTTTTTTTTTTTTTGCTCCTTTTGACATTTAAGCGATCAGTTAACTGAGAACATAAGTGACAGACTAATCGATGGTGTAGGTTTGTGGCGTCCCCACATATGTGATTTACAAAGTACAGTCAAGGCACAGAAGCGGTGTTGTGTACGAACTGGACAGAGATCAAACACCTGACACGTATGATTGGAGAACAGCAGGATATCACAAGTGCTTGTTTGCTTCCTCTCAGCTGGACGCTTGAATATCTTAAAGTGACTCAGGCTACAGTGGTGTTCGGTTGCACGGAGCTGCCAGCAAAATGCTTACAAATTGCTAAGTGGTGAACATGGGTAGCAACAAGGCGCGCTGATTAATTATTCAAAGCTTTCAGCCTATAGAACACCTGGTCTCGCGTTGAGCAATATGCGTCGCGGACTGTGATTGACAGTGTTTGGAAGCGAGATACTGCTTGGCTGTATCATGTGAATGGTGGCTGAAGTTTAATCAGAACTATCAGATGTAGCGTGTGCTGTGATCGGCAGTCTGGCGCTGCTCATGTTGGGTTTATACGCTTCAATCAAATACACGCGACAAATCATGCTTTTCATGTGGTGTACTTGATATTTTGGGATGTCTGTTTTTCTCAGCATATCTCAGAAACAGCCCAAAGGAATGTCTTCAGATTTGGCTCAAACATTTACTTCATTCAAACATGAAGTCGAAGGTCAAAGGCAGGGTGGCCTGACGATCTCGTGTGCTAATTATGACAAAGTTTGACACAATGTCGATGAGAATAATAGAATGACATCACATATCCAACAGGTCAGAGGTCAGCCACACTGTGACGACATCATGTTCTGCCAAAACATCTTTCTGGCCGTTAATTCAGGACCACGTTTCAGAATCTGCTTTTACTACCGGTCACACTTCAAAGTAGGTTTCAGCACGAGGAACCAACGTTTCAGTTCTGAAAAGTTTAGTTTTGGTTCTTCTAATTGGTTCCTAGACAGATGACACTCGTGTATGAACAGAGTACAGAGCAGTGTTAGCCCCAAAGCTAACGACTGTTAAAGAAATTCTCCGGCTCCCCGACTACAGTCCAGACAACAGAGCAAAGTCTGACCCGGTGTGCTGCACCTACTGTATATCCGCCGCTATCTGTCTGCACCATTCAACAAGCTGATTTCGTCACTGTTTTCCATCTCCTGATCTGTTTGTCCTAACAAATCGTTACTCCACCGTTTCTTGTAGCGCCCCGCTCAGTCGCTGCTGCTTGATTAGCAGGTGAGCAGCACCAGCCGTGATCGTCTCCTAACAAACACCTTAGTTTATCAAATGCTGCTACAGAAGGCCTGACGAAACGCTCTCGTTGTGGTAAAGTAGCCGACGCGAACGCAAAAGTATAAACTGGAAAGCAGACCACCGTCGCTGCTGTCGCTTTATCGAGCTCAGTGTTTCTACTGATATCATTTACAGGCAGAGTTTCACAAACTGTGCTTGTAAAGAATGCAGGCCTTTGTCTCGTATCATTATGTGAACAGAGAGTCTTTATTTCTCTTGTGTGGCAGCAAACACACAGACTTTCAGCAACTATTCTGCTTATCGAGGTTTCTTACAGCCGACTGAAGCAACTTTACTGCCCTGATAGCAACATTTTACTGTGACTGCAGCAACACGCGGCTGCTTTTGTCCCACGTCGGGAAAGACTCGCTTCAGCAGCAAACCTACCCGTCCACTCACCGCTGTCCTGACCGGGGGGATGTACAGTCAGACTGAGGCTCTGTGTTCTCACTCAGTGCTTAAAAACACAATATTTCATGTGGTTTTTTGGTGTGTGTTTTCACGATAGTCATGAGCAGTGATGGAGGAAATACTGAGGTCCCTTACTTAAGTAAACTGTCTAATAACACGCTGTAGAAGTCGTGCAGTGAAGATGGAACCACCCGACACTACTTAAAAGTCTTCACTCTGTACATTATTTGCAGATGAATTTAAACTGCATCCTGATTGTGTGGCCAAGGATTAAAACCACATAGTCCTAGTTTCTACTGTTTATCACCGTGTGAACTGAAACAGCTGATTTCGATGTCTCATAGTTGCTCCTTTTCTCTGACACAACAGATTTGAGCTAATGTGGCCTCAGTCTGAACAGTCACATCATAGCTGATGCATGTTCACCTTTTCTGGTGCATCGTCAGCTTTACAGAAGCAGCCAGGTTTATTTTGAATGTCAGTTTTTGTGATAAGCTCATGTGATGAACATGAATGCAAATGAAAACATGTCTTAATGGTGTCATAGGAGAACATCAAGGTTAAGGGGCTCAGAATGAGCTTGAGAGGAACCGCTGATTATTATGAGATGCACATCGGCGTTCGAGAGTCCGGCTGTGATGCAGCGTCCGTCTGAACAAGCACGCCAGGTCGTCGGACGAACAGAGATCCGAGCTGTAAATCAGTATTAAAGCGTCTTTCCCGATGATGTAGCATTAGGTAAACTGTTTGTGCTGACAGGGGAGCATGCGGTAGCAGTTGTCCGGGTGTATGTGTGATTATCAGCGTTGTGACCTGCGCTCAAGGGCACTGGGACGAGGATGGGTCGATTAACCCCGTTACCTTTCCTTCACGAGGCACACTTGTGTAACCACCGGTTCCCTGCACCGCGTAAAGGACGTTTCAGTGGAGACAACGCAAAATATTCCAACGCGTCAGTTTTTGTCCAAGGTCACAGCTTTACTGTGACATTTACAGTGTGTGTGTTTTCTGTATTGATTTAAGTAGCAGCTGCAAATTCTGTTTGTGCTGCCCAAGTATTGTAGCATTTGACAGTTTTGCATGCCTGAAGCTGAACACGGACCTCGTATGTTGTAGATTAACCTTGTTGTGAGGCGTCCCGTCTTCATACTCCCCTCCTCAAGTCCCACGCTAAGAATCTGAAATGTTTGCAGATTTTTCAGTTTGCAAAAATTCTCCTGTGATGAATCACCAGAAAGTCAAACGGCTGTTCCTTGGTTCTGCTTCTTTTAAGTGAACATTTGCTGGTTTTCTTAGTATTAAACCTTTTAAAACCAAAACCAGCCAAAAATGGTGACATTCATCAGAACCAGGAACTCTCAAAGCTGAAAGAATGATCAGGTTCTCAACTTTCTGAACTAATTATGTCTAACATGTCGTTCCTTTAGGACAGTGAACCACATCCAAGCATAACATTGTGATATTTCATTAAAAAATCACTTCATTCGATGTGTTTCATTTAAGAAATAGCCAAAAATATGCACCAGATCCTGTAAATACAGGTGCACTGCTCGGAACAACCGAGAAAACAGAAAAAAAAAAGAGGAAGAACAACGACTGCAAAAAGAAATTTGATGTCGAGAGCAAAATATAGCGTACTTCAGGAAAAGGGATATACATCCAGCATGTTGAATTATATTTCTAGAGTTAATTTGCAGTGAATAGTGAGAAAAAAAAAAGGTTTTAATAATGGTTAAATATTAATACCATGTAGAGCCGGTGTTTCCAGTATTGGTAACACCTGGGGGCACTCAGGAAAATGTGATTCTGGGATTTTTTTGTTTTAATTCTTTTGTTATAATTGATGGCGTCGTGCACGTAGTTCTACTGAGTTCTGGCCACGGTCGTGCTTTTCCTGTAGAGCTGCAGGACTTTAAAAAACGAGCCTTCAGTCAGGAGAAATGCAACAGGAGCAGGAAGCGGTTGAACTGGATAAGTTTAAGTTTTTGTCTGCTGGTCACACACAGGAGACATTTTGTCAGGTTTTGAGATATTTCATTTTTGATCATCACTAAAAAAAAATAATTGTCCATCGCAGCCATAAATACTTTAAAGACGAACAGACTCCTACCTACACGTGTGTTTTATTCATGTAGACAATCTGGTGACACGGTACGCCACAGATTTGACTCCGGAGCTCTGTTCACGCTGCACTCAAGAAATGTGAGATGTGTGTCAGGGAATACTCACGCGCAGCTTGATACTCTGCCGTCTGGAAGATGAGCTTTGGTTAACTATCAGAGATGAAGGATGTTGCGTCACCTCCACTGGAGAAGCAGAACAGTGGTGCTTTGTAGATATCATACATCATTTTATCAGCAGCAAACGA